TTTCTTTTGTAACCAGCAGGGTTTTAAAAAGAAATGTCCTGGCTGCTGTAGAAGATCAGCTGATTTCCTCTCGCCCCCGCCTTGGTGAGACTAAACTTAGTTATACACTGTGGGTTTCCTTTTTAACCTGCTGAAAACAGCATTGCTTCTTTGTAAAAGGTCGTTTCTGTTTTTAAAGAGTATTTAGCTGAAAGAAATAAAACATCAGAAGACAGATGCTAAACTGCTTTGGTTGTCTCCTAATGTATGAATCACTTAGGCCATTCAGTTCCCAGCAGCCTGCAGCTGTCCACAAAGTTTTGGAGGATAAGATGCTAGGAAAAGCTGTTGCTGCTGCTCGTGGTATAGAACATATTAGATGAGCGTATGTACATTGTTTTCCAGTGCCCTGGGCAGAAGCTGGAAGCCTTTGGATGGTCTGACCAGCTTTGCTCTGGACTTTGTCCTTGGGCAAATTACTTTGTTGTTTTGCGATGAGCACTATGGGGAGCAATGAGAGAGAGAAAAAAAAGCAAATAAATGCTGCAGTATGCAGGGGAGGTGATAAAAGCAAGCAAGCAAGAAGTTTGAAGTGGAGTTGGGTTTATGTTGGGTTTAAAGAGTTTCTGTCACCATCATGTGTAGCCATTTCTGAGAATTTCTTAAAACAATAAATGCAAGGCTAGTTTGACTGAGCTGCGGTATAAACCAGCCTTCCTATGTTTTTCTCTGTTGAAGGCAAGCTTTCATGATGTTATCTTTCCCGGTGGGTTTGGAGGCAGTTTCCATACTTGCATGTGGCCATCTCTTTCTAGAGAATAGTTCAGAAGGGTTAGAAAGAACCATTCGAAGTCTGTGTGTGCGTGTGATGCTTTGCAGCAGCTGTGTTTGTGCGCGAGTTTGTGATTAAGAAGTTAATGTTATAATAGAAAACATTACGGAGATGACTTAACATCACAGGGTGGAGCGCACAGACTCCTGCTCATCACAGAGTGAAGCTGTTTGGGCGGCAGGATCTTCTTGCCAAGGCTGATAATACAAACAGGGTTACTTTGTTTTAATAGATTTAATAGATTTAGGTTTAGGTGTCTACAGTTGTTAGTTCAGTGAGTTTCTTTAGGATGCGTGTTCTCCGAATAAAAAATTGTCTCGTCATCAGAATGCAAAGGTGCTGACTTCATAATCTGTTCGTTATTACAGATAATTTTCATGATTAAGTGACTGCTTGTATGTAAAGATATATTTAGAGAAATGCAAATAAGGACACCTCAGGTTTATTTCTTCCAGGCCACGTGCGTTTCAAAAGAGGAACAAAAAGAGCATTACATTTATTTTTTGTTCTGCATGTTTCGCGGCACACGTTCGGCGGTATGTTTGGATTCGAGGGAAGGGGAAGGAGGGAACTTTTTTTTTTTTTTTGGTGTATATTTTGGTTTGGTTTGATTTCTTTTTTCCCTTTTAAATCTGGATTAGCTGGTGTTGAACTGGGAGTGTCAGGAGAATGGAAAGTTTGCTGCAGAAGGAGTGACACAGCTTCCTGTTGCTAAGTTCAACAGAAACAAAATAAAAACTGCACTATATTAAGGTCATTTAAAAAAAAAAAGTCACGGATTTATAAATAGAGCTTAATTCACACGTGTAGGCTTTCAGGGAGCTGGCTGGTGATTGGAATTGCAAAATATAGATCTGCTGCTCTCTGTTGTCTGCATCTGCTTTATATAGTCAGTGTTTCAGGCTTTTCACTAGTGGACCATTTTGTGCTTAATAAAAGCAGTTTCTCTAGGTTGTTCTGAATAGGAAATTTTTACTGGTAGTATTTTCCAACTACTCATAAATGGCCCTTGTCAAGTATTTTTTTTTTTTTTTTTTTAAAGAGCTAAGTTGAGGGAGCCTTCAAGAGAATGATTTATCTCATCTTTTTCAGGTGAGAGTTTTACAACTGTATTTGCATATTTATAATCTAGTTAGACATTTATGTGCTTGGACTATAAAGCATTGAACTTTTCGGGCCTAAGAGAGGCAATTGGTTCCACTTATGCATAAAGCTGAATTGAAGCAGGATACATTTGAATGGGTTTGCATACTTCTTTCTTTACATGGCTTAGTCTCCCAGCCAGTGGTTTAGTTAGATGCCTGGTAATATGCATTTTGCTTGGTTGCATATTACCTGTGAAGGGTACCGATCTTTTCCTACAAGAATCGATAAGAAAAGAACAGGAAAAGGGTTTCTCCAGTTAAAACGTGTTTTGAAAATGGGCGTTTGTCAGATTTCCTTGGACTGTTTCCTTTTTGGCTCTGTTTGCTCAGATTGAGGTCTAATGCTTTAGCAAGGGTTTCCTCAGTAATTCTTGTTGTGTTTAGCAATATGGGCTGCAGACTCTGGTTCTGCTTGTGATATCAGCAGCCACTCATTTGTGTCTTCCTATATGGGTTATTAAGGTATCCTGAGTAGAGTCGGGGTACCGGCTGCATGTGATCCATTCAGAATAACCCTTATAATCTAAAAATGAATGTAAATGGAAAATGTGGCTACTGGGGGTCAAGGAGAGGTTTAAAATCAGCTGTGTTCTGATGCTAGGTTCCCCTTGTGTTAACCCCAGAAATACAGTGCTGCTCATTATTTATTTGTCTACATGTGAGACAGTGGAGGAAATACTGCCTTTAAATGTCCAAACTGGTGAGTAACAGACGGTTACAGGTTGATTATTGGAGAGAGCGGTAGTTTACCAGGAGTTTTCCTTGGTTGTTTTTTTTTTTTTTTTTTTTTTACTGTATACTTTTGAGTACAATACTTTCTCCCTTTATAGCATGATCTTGATTTAAAGTATGAGTTTTCCCAGAAAGGTGCATTCCTGATCAGAGATGGAACTTGTAATGATCTCTACACTTAAAGTGTAGCGGGTGCTTAAAATGAGACTTCTGAGTTTTTCCACACATCCACTGATCAGATTTCTGCACAGTCAAATAACTCAAGTTTGACACATCACTTGCACGTCATCATCACTGGGACCACAGTGATAAATGCAGCGTGAAAGCTTGAATAGTATGTAATAGGTAATGCTGTAAGGCTTTTTTGGTATGGGTTTAAACAGTACATTAGAGTAGACTTCTGGATCATGACTGGGGTTCTTATATGTATGACCCAGGTTTTTTTTAAATCTGTGATATAGATGATGATGACAATGATCTATTATTGATTTGAGCCAGAAAGAAATACCTAGTCTGAAATCAGTAATACTTAGATTCATCTCCAACACTTAAAAGAAATTGAATAAAATGACTAAAGTTAACGTTTGTATATATTTAGGGTTGTTTAGGTGAGAAACAATAGCATTTAAGAAAACTCCTCTTAAGATCTTAAACAAATGTGTTTAAAAATAAAATTGCATTCCAAAGCAGAATATTTGCAAAACAGTTTTCCTTTCATTTAGCAATAAGTACTGAACACAAAGCTTCATATAATTGATTGCCTTGTGTATGCACAATCTTTATGTATGTGGGAAGCAATAAAGAACTGTGACTTTTTGAAGAGCTAGTTGTCTTGTTACAAGTTTCTTTTAGGGAGGAGACCCCTTTTAGATGTTCATAAACCTCCCCCAGAGTGTATGAACAGATGTCCCATAGAGAAAACAAAATGCAAGATTTCCCAGAAGTGACTCCAAGCCGCCGTTCCCTGTGATTCCCTAATGACCCCAAGCCGCCATTCCCTGTGATTTGGAATGATATAAGTAGGCACGAGATGTTACATTAATTTGCAGCTATTGATGGATGGAGCTGGTTGCTCTGTATAATAATTAAGGTTGCTCCAGGTTTCCTGTTATCAGACTATTACAGAGGCGGGCAATTATTTTGGGCGGAGGGCCGCTTACTGAGTTTTGGCAAGCCTTTGAGGGCTGCATGACAGGCAGCCAGGGGTAGATAAATATTAATTTTCTAAGTGTTTTAGGGGTCCTGCGGGCCGGATGGAATGGCCTGACGGGCTGCATCTGGCCCGTGGGCCGCATTTTGCCCACCCCTGCTCTTTTAATTCCTTATGCCTTTGTAAAACCCTGACTGCTTGGCTCCAAGTTTGCTTTACAAACTGCATATGGCATTTGATACCCAGTACTTTAGACCAGGGCCTTGAAATTAGGCAGTGGTACTAGCCGAATGCAAGAGAGCAGATGCACAGCTGGCAGAGTAGTTATTATTGGTTCACTGTCAAACTGGGAAAACATTGCAGGTACTTGAACTCAGTCATCTTCAGTGTTTTGATTAACAAATTGGATAATGGAATAGAAAGTGTTTGGTTTTTTTTTTTTTAAATATGCATATGAAACCAGGCTAGGAAGGCTGGAAAGCTGTTTGGCAGACACTATCAGAAATTAAAATGGTCTTGACAAATTGGAAAGATGCTCTGAGACCCCCCAAAGGGAACTTCAGTGACAACGAGCACAAAGTACTGCGCTTAGGAAACATCAATCAAAAGCAAAAAGAGGAACAATTACTTAAACAGCTGTATGGACAAAAAGAATCAGAGACTTGTACTGGATCACAAACTAAATAGAAGTCAATAATGTGCTTTTCCAAAAGGGGCCAATCTTATTGGGGGATGCATTAAAAAGAGTATCACATGTAAAAACTTGGGAGGTAATTGATCTACTCAACTTCGCACCTGGGAGATCAGAGGTGGAATATTTTATCTAGTTGTTTGGCACCATGCTTTAAGAAACATGTTGACAAACTCAAGAGAGTTCAGAGGAGAGTAGCAAGAATGCTAAGAGGTTTTGCACATATGACCTACAGGAAAGGTTAGAGGAATTGAATTTGTTTAGTCTAGGAAAGGAAAAAAAACCCAGGGAAATGACAACCATCTTCTAATACATAAAATGCTGTTATGAAGTGGATGGCAATCAGTTGTTCTGCATGATCATGGGAGGAAGGACGGAACAAAATTCTTTTAATTTACCATCAACATTATTTAGTTTGGACAGGAACCCTAACCGTTG